CGTGCCATAGTTAGATGTCACCATTTTATTGCAAGAAATATTAGTGCAGCGGAAAGAATCCCGATAGCAATTTTTGTAGTAGGAGATTAACTTTACTGTTCTCCATTTCTAGCCAAACCCCACTTCTCTTAGTATCATATTTCTGCAGTTATTGGCCAAAACGGATGTTCGGGATCATTGGCCATTGTCCCGCCCTTCCGGTCATTTCCCGGTGGACATTTTTTCAGAAATTGATCTACCCATGAATACCTATAAGTTAGGAAAAAGAAAGTTTGAGATCTATCTGATGTCAAGATTCTGGGGTTTTCTCGCCTTTATACAGGGTGTTCCTAAAAGATCTGTACCAAAATCTTAGCACATATTCCTGTGGTCAAAATATGTCGATTTAAATTCCGTTTCCGAGATAAAAGGTGGTGAAGATGAAGAATAAAAATCGACAGTACACTCCTCAAAGTATTTTGAAAGATCCATTTTCGCACTCCTAATAAACTGACCGAAGTACATCCAAGAAGATAACAGTCAAAATAATTTAAATATTCCGGTGCACCAAATATTGAAAAACGAAATATCTCGAAATCAGCTTATTTTTGCGGTGTTTTTCAAGAGTATATATTCTTTGCTTAAATATGTCCAGAAAAAATATTTCGTCAACGAATAAAGTAAGAAAATTCCAGAAGAAAGTTATGGCAATTCTAAACCATAAGAAGTGCATTGGTAAGCGCCCTCTAATGGCCACATCCAAAAAACACCCAGATATCAATTTTGGAAGTAATACGTTTGAAAATGTTGATAAATTCTGAGAAATTTGATTTTTATTCTTCAACTTTACTACCCTGTATCTCAGAAACGGAGCAATTTCGGACTGAAGTAAGTTGCTTTGAATTGATTCATTTTGATCTCTGGGGTATGTGCTCAGGTTTTTTTACAGACTTTCCAGGAACACACTGTATACTGGACTATGAACAAAAATACGAAGAAAGTTCTGGTAAACATGTTTCGAGAAAATGTTCCTTATATTAATATATATAATTATATCCGAAACGCCTCAACAGAAAAATCAAAATTTGAGGGTTTACTAATGTTTTTATTGTTGAGGAGATGTGTGATATTATTTCCAACATCTTATTCAGGGGTGGGTCAAATGGACAAGAGGTGAAACTACCTTAATGACATTTACATTGAAAAACAATGACATAAGGAATCATGAAAAATGACGACATACTATGTTGTGATAACATATCCAAATGTGTTTTCATATTAATAAGCATCACATAATTTGTTATCAATATCTTAAACAAGATCCACGCGAATAACTTGTTTGGTTTGTTATACAATTCTCAAAATTCAATTCTGCTGCCTGCTCAAACCGATCCTGACATAATGAATAAAAACGATCTTTATGGGGTCACACCAAAGAGCTGTGTGGTAGCTCCTTCAAAAAATATTGTTGACCCTTGTTCACTCTAATTTTTGATCGTGGAATCTACTGTCTATGGCGTGCTCATTATGAAATAACCTGTATCATTTTATTACAAAGAATTAACCAGTTTTGCTGCCATGAATCTTTGGTTTCTGAATTTTTATTAAAAAAATAATTTATTGTTAATACCATTATTGTTTTCATGAACAGTAAAAACATGAGCTTCAGATGAACTTATCTGAAGTAATAATTTTGCCAATCAGTATAAAAAGTCGCATCTGAAGGTCGAGTCTCTTCACAGTTTTTGGGTGAAAAGATTTCAAATTACAAATGGCCAATGCATAGAAACTGTTGAATGAATGGAATCACATTATTTTTTAATGATTTCTTGTAGTCAAGACATTTTCAAGACATCATATAAAATATTTCTAGTGATCATGATACCTACATATTATTGATGATGCTATCTTCCTCCTCAGATTGTTATGCATACTTCACGTTGTTTTCAATATTTTTGCTATTAATAAAAATAGGCCTTAGAAAGAAAAAGTGACCAAATATGTAGTATGTAAATGATAAGATATATTTATATTTTATAACAAAATACGCCTTACCTAGCTGTAGCTGATATTCAATAAAAGAAGTTATGTGGTTATGTTGTGTAAAATTTTATAAAATATTTTTTGGTAACATTGTGAAGATTGTGACTTGTGATTGACCAATATTTATGACAAGTTTGATGTTTTTTGAAAATTGTTTTGAGGGGTACAGCAGAGGAAGTGATTGGATTGTGATACTTTATTTTTGTATTTACTGGACAGAGATAAGAGTTTTATTTATGAAAATCTGTATAGATTGTGCCTTTTATTTATTTAATAATTCAGATTTTATGCCTTTGGAGGGTTTATTCAATATGTATGAATTTTAATAAAGTTATTGATAATGACATTGTCGTTTTTCATAAATTTTCAAATGCTACCTACTTGAAAATAGGTAGGTAGCTTACTTTTATTATCATATGGGTGGGGATAAAGTATATGGAACCGAAAGATGATATCCATGATGAAAATAGACTGGTGTAACCACTTGTCAATTGTTTCTTTCCAAAACGTGTAGACCGCGAAACACCATAGCAAGGCCGCACCGGATTGACTGTAGATGGCGTAGGGAACATCGTGCCACATATAATTCACAGATATAATGAAAATTTCACGTCTTTTTCATTAAATCAATCACTTTTTCTCAATGTTTTTAAATTACGAATCAATATACGTGAATGTAAACAACAAAACAAAACAACCCTTGTGTAGCAAGATCACTTCGGGAACAGCGCCATCTAGCGTTAGTTTTACGCGGCCTTACTACGGTCATAGAATTCGACATAATCAAGTAGGCCAAAGGTCTACAAAAATGTCTAGGGTTTTGTAAGAGGGAGCTATTTCACCATACATATATCCACCTTTATGATATCTTTGAAACGAAAAGGACAAATTTCAAAGGGGACACTTAAAATGAACATGTTTAGCCCTCTTGGTTCAACCCCTTAGGAGAGGCATATGTTTCTCAAGAATCCCAGATGGGAAAGGGGGTCAAGTGGCACATTATTCTGAAGGGCACTCAATTCTCTTTCCAACGGTACCCTATAGTTTATCATTTTCTCTTGAGCAGTTTCTAAAATATCCGCGTCAATTAGAAAAATTCCCACCCTTGATATATATCTTCCTTCCAGTAAATAAAATGAAAAATCGGAAAAAAAAAAGGACAGATTCATTCTCAAGGGGGACCCTTTAAATGAATATGTTTAGCCCTCTTGGTTCAACCCCCTAGGAGTGGTAGATGTTAGATGTTACCTTTAGACCATATGAACCCAGGCAACCAGATGATGTTTCAGTGACGTCTTTTTACGTGAGTTGAATGACCAAGGTGACGTCAGGAGTTGACGTCGTATATGACGTGATAAATGACGTGAATAAGTCACAGCCCAATGAAGTCATATTACTCACGTTTATTGCAGTCATTTCCTCCCCAAACTGTGACGTTGGGCTAAAAAAGTTTCCTCGAACATAGTGTGATAATCACCACTGACCTCTGATTAATCCATATTTAGTGAAAAGAAGGAAGAATATCATTCAAAATAATGGCGTGTGTAATGTCATTCGAAAGCAATCTATTGACATATGACATCTCGTATTTTGATTGACTATTGATGATTAAATGGTCGTCATCTGGAATGCTTGTTCACTAAATATGAAAAACTATCGCCATAAAAATCATATTTCCTGTTGAATTTTCTAGGTAAAAATGTGCCATCGAAGTACATCATGAGTATATAAAGTGGCCAATGACAAAATAAGAGCAAGTAGCTTCAAATGCCCCCAACACAAGGGGAGAAAGAAGGCGAAATTTCGAACTTTTTCTTGAAATATCTCAATAAATAGTGGTTTGTTCACATTTTCATCATAAAATTCGGTTTATCAGACAAAAATACGTGAGTACCGAAAAAAAATTTCAAAAAATAACCATCGAATGATAAATGCAGTTTTACCCTTGAAAATTACGGTTTCAAGTGTAACGATCCACTTGGGTGAAAAATCCAACAACAGAAAATTGAAAACACTCACTGGTTATTTTTTCAGGTAATAGGAATTCTCCAAGATAAATATAGGTAATTGTAAAAATAACGGCATGTCAATCAAAATAAAATACATTTTCCACAATTTTCTTTCGATCAATCTCACGATAAGTTTATGTTCTGCGGGCCCTGTATAAGTAGGTGTGAAGTTTACCTTCACCACAATTTTTGCCAATATATTTAATTCGAATGATTCGAATGGGTTGCTGTAGGTGGATATTTGTGTTTTATCCTGGTTTTTGCTTTAGAACTTCGTTTTTCCATAATAAAATCGAATGGGGTGCGAAGAAGGTCTCAGTTGACGACTGACATCCTTTTTTAACCGGAAGCCCTTCAAAAAACAGCAAAATCGGCTCAATGATGATCTAAAACCAAAATCGAAATACGCGGTCGCCTTATAGCGCTATAAGCGCTTGTCGTTTCGAGCCGCTGGTTAGGCCTCAATAAGTGACGTCCCCCACGGAGCATATGTAGGCCTTGTTGTATCGGTGGTAACGCTCAGCCACAGATTATCAAACCTTAGAAGACTAGGCCAATAGTGATTTGCTATCTCAATGATGTTTCTCTTCAGGGTCGGCCGGCCGTGAGTGGAGCCTTGACCGAATTTTCTATAAACTCATTTCCTCACGAATTATTTGTTGCGCCATGCCTCTTTTACGTCCTGTCTCTAGTAGGCTAGATATGGGCTAGATGATTGTGGCTAGATGCTTCAATTCGGGTCGTTTGAATTCGTGCCAGCGAATCATGACATGACATTGACAAGGTCGATATGATATTTGACATTAGACATCAATTACTGAAGCTTCAAAATCGTCAACATATTGACAGTTGACACAGTTTATGGCGCAGACTGCAAGGGTAAACTTGAACCAAAACAAAGGGAACAATTATTTTGAAAAGATGAATCAGTGAGATAGTGTGAATTGAAGATTGGTTTCAGAGGAAGAGATGTCCAAAGAAGCCAGATATGGGCTATTGTACAGTGAATATGAATTTTCAACCTATGCGCGTATTCCCTTTGAGAAATTTGTACTTATCATAGTATGTTTCCCATTATTTGCATTCATATTTTGTGTTACTTACTCCGTCCTATTCAATTTTGAAAGTGCGACGTACACTCACTGTGATGTTTACAACATGCTTCCTTCAATATCAGCAGCAATTGGAAATTTTTCGCCCCAGAAACAAATTTGGCAGGTAGCAATTGCAATACATGCCATCCCTAGGTTTTATGTTGCTTTTGAATATTGGAATTACCACTACAGTGTTCTCCGTTCCCAGGATTTATGGATTGCAAGACTTGCCTTTCCTCTTAATATTCTGGAAAATGTTGCTCTCATAGTGTTGTCCTTTTTCACCTCTTCAAAGTCTTATGGTAATATTACAAGAAAATTGTTATTGTTACATTTATTTATTCATTCAGAAAATTTTCTTCCAGCTGTACATGAGAAGGCTTTCATCACTTTTATTGTAGGATCAGAAATCTACATGATTTTGACATGTATATTACAAAGTAGGTTCAAAAAACAATCAAGGATAAGTCTGAAATGGAAAAAACGGTTTTTGTTCATTAATGTAGTTTGCATTATAACAGCAGTATATTTCTTCATGAGACACAATTCCTTTTGTGAACCTTATGGTGAGTTGAATCTTATATTTATACAAGGACAGAAAATTGGGAAGAATAGTTCTTATATTAGAATCAATATGGAACCTGTTTGGCATACAACAAATAAAATGAATAGAATGATGATTATTTCCTCTTGTGCTTTTCTGTGATCATTATCAGGGGTAATTCTATGAGTGCTCACAATACTATCTATAGTTATTTTGTCAGAAACTTGGTCAGAAATCAATGTTTCCCAATTGCTTAGTACAAGAAATTTGGTTGAGTCAAGATTTCTATCAGAATTGTGAATAGTATTATGAGCAGGAATTGTATTTATTGAGACAATTCCATGACGTATATGAAACTACATGTCTATTTAGATTCATGGTTGCAGTGAAAATGTGTTTTTACTGGCTGTAAAGGATGTAGCAGCATAATATCCAGGCACATCAGTCTGATTGTTTCTTATATTGCAGGAGATGACAGTTTCATATAGATACATCATAGAATTGTCAATAGAGTAGTTTCAATTGATTATATTTTCAGAAGTTAGATATTTCTTATTATGAGGTTGGCTATAGAGGTATCAAATGTCAAATGTGAATGAGATCCACACAACCAGGCACAACTACCAAAACTATTGTATTTCAATAAAATCAGAAATTGTTGAATTGTTGATAATTGGAAGCATCAGCAAGAAAACTTCTAGAGCATTTAAGTACTTTCTCAAATGAATGATCATAATTGACATAAGACAATGCATTAGACAAATGAAACACAACTTGATATTAACAGCAACCAACAAATAGCAAGAAATGTCTAACTATTTCCTAGTGAAATATGGCCAATAACAACAGGAATTTGAAGAATTATAGTCAGTGTGTGCATAGTTTGACAGGTCATTGGCAATGACAATATACCTTATAGATTCCATGAAAAGAAGGTTAATCCATTGACCATAATATATTTCTAACAGGCACAAAAATTAAACTGTTTTATGATGTCATTTTATATTTTATATATCATCAACACAAGAAATTGCATCCATTTAGCAGATACTAACTAATCAAGAGGCAACTCATTCTAATTATCTCTGAACTGAATAATTTTTTCAAAACATTACAGCTGAGTCACTTGTGCTCAAACAGGAAAAACAGATTAGTCAGTGGGTACTGGACCCCTTGCAGGACCCCTCTTATATTCCAGTATTTACCTGCACCAGTGGCTTCCTAGATATCTCATTTGAGCTATACATAAAAATGTTGATATAATAATTTGTTTTAGAGATATGACCAGTTCATATTTGATTATTTCTAAAACAAATTAGTTGAGAAATTAGTTAGCCCAAAGGGATAACAAAATCAATAGTTATATATATTAAACAAGGGAAAAAAGTAGTCTATTCAGCTCCAGTTTGTGTTGTCTTCCGACGCATAGTGGAGGGGGACAAAAAACCATGAGCTGAAATCTAATATCTTTTCAGTGAATAATACACTATTTTTTCTGTGACAGGAAAAAGGACAAATCAATAATTTGAAAATGTTATATTATATTAAAATCAGAAAATTATCGACGTGAAATTTGAAGTTTTGAACAGGAAGTACACCTGTGTTGGAGATATCATCTTGCAGGCATCTTTATCATAAAGACACTAGCAGTGTTGCCAACTCAGATTTCCAAAAGTCACAAATTGGCCCCCTACAAGACACCAAGAAAACACCATTGAAAAAAAATGCGAAATTTTTTGCAAATCTTGTGATTTTCTGGTGGTTTCAACTTCAGTCCAGATCACTAGATAACACCAGATAAAAAAACCAGATAAGGTGAAAAAAGTTTTTTCTTTAACAGAAACCAGTACGAACAAAATAAATTATTCATAGCATCCAGACATCCTTGAGTATATTATAATATATAAAAAAAATCAAGAACTAAGAAGCAACATTTGAGATCGTACAAGAACAGTCAAAATTGGACATAACCATAAGAAACTGATTTCAGTTAAAACTAGTTTTTCCTCGAGTTTTTCTATTAAAACTTTTCTCTAGTACCTATTACAATGATGAAATTAAAATATCATATGAAACAAAGGACATTTCGGATGCGTCCTCAACCACCTGAATTCACCATTTATTTGAAAAAATTCACCAAAATGAACACCATTCACTAGATGCCATATTTTCTCACAAAACGAGATCTCAAACCACCAGTTCTAGTGTGAAATCCTCTCAGTCGGCAACACTGGACACTAGCTTTGCACTTTGCTTTGAGACTTCCACATGCACATAACGTTGACCGCTCGGTAACCGTGTATGAATATGTTTTGTACATATTTTGGTAACAACCCTACACCCAAGACCCAACCACTAAAATAGCCAAGGTAGCTAACATGCCTACGTTCAGATGGAGAGATCCTGTTTCAAATCCCAACTCAACTTACACTTTTTTTGGTCTTTTATGTTTTATTTTATTTCCTCCCTGAAAAATGTACTGTAAAGGCACTTACTGTGAAGGGCGATGGTGATTTGCTATTTCTATGATGTTATTTTTGAGCTTGGCACACGGCCGCAATGTTTTATTCTTCGGAAGTCTCAAAGCAAATAGGAATCCATGTCGCTATAGCCGCCTGTTGTCATCATAGTAATCAAATATCTGTCAGTCTAATTCTGTACCTATTTGATTATTTCAAAATAATGATAAAGATGTCGCAACGCAGGTGTAATTCCTGTTAAAAACTCGATAATTTTGTGAAAAAAATAGTGTATTATAGACGGAAAAATATTAGATCTTAGCTCACAACCTTGAGCTAAATTCTACAATTTTTTTCCCTTGTATAATAAATAACTATTATTATCTCATTTACTCTATATTCTTCTCCACCATAGTATCTTCCTACTATAGTAATAATTATATTCTATCAAATGATAGCCTGATGATATCCTGAAATTAAATAGTATGTTATTTTTCAGTTTATACATTGTTTGCATTATCTGAGTACATCGTAGTTCTATCCAATATGGCGTTCCATTTGACTGCCTATTTCGACTTCCAAAACAAGGATTTAGTCATTTACAAACATGGTCTTGCTCTCACAGAGAGATAATATTTGGTTATATAGCTAGTCATATAATTCTATTATTTATTTGTTATTTATTAATTTGGGATTCCCAGAGAACAGTTTCACAATCTTTTTTATGAGTACCTACTTACACTGTTGTGAACTGATGGATACTCAATGAAATTATTTTAAAAATTTTATTGGCTGATTTTTCTGGGTACCTTTGTCCTATTGAGTATTTTTTGAGTACCCATAAATTTGAAGTCATTTTGACACAGATTATTAATTTGTGATTTTGACCCATTGAGTGATATAATTATTATTACATAAGTGTTAATTTCTTCATAAGAAAGTTCGTGAAACGTTTCATGGAACTTTTGATAGTGATAAAACAAAATGTGGTATTTTGAAAATGTGATTTTTTTACACTGATATTCCATTTGAGGAAGTGACCATTTTAGGTATTTAAGAAAACTTCCTGAAGAAACTTGTAAATAATTGTTTGTATATTCAACATTGTTGTTAAGCAAATTGGGATCTGTTTTTGTTTGCAGCCATTGAGATTTACCCTTTCCAAATTATTTCCATTTAACTCTATTATTTGGATTAATGAATTGGGTGATATAATCAAAAAGTCTTCAAGTTACGAATCATGGAAACAAAATATGTAGTAGAATTTTGTTGTCATAGATATTCTCATAATTTTTGAAAAGGAATCTTGTACATATATGAAAATTTCATATATTCATCTCATATGGAAAAATATTATACACTTTTTCATATAAAATTAAACTGCACTATTTTTGTCTGTGCCAACACATGTAGAAAACCGAAATATGTATCTATTTTCATTATTTATAACTATAGGTATTACAATTTGAAACGCACTCACCATGTTTCCAGCTTCAACTGTGATGTCCATAAATGTTCCAAACATCACATGGATTGGTGAATACAATGGTTCAACAATCCATGATTTGAATTTTGAATCATGGTGATTAAACGTTTTACTACTTGCTGTACTACTTAAATGCATACATTTGAATTCCAACAAATTGTCAATATGGGATATTTTTTATTTTCAAATTACCAAGCGAAGTTCAATTCTTTTCAAAAATAATGTTTTGAAGTTAATGCATTCTGTTATCATTTTAAATAATTGAAGATTGAAACATAATCCCTCATCAGAGAAACATCATTTTCCAGGTACAGTTGTGTGCATGAACAAGTCCTACAGCAGTTATAGGCTTGTCAATCTTGATTAATCTTCTTATCAACTTTGACAAGTAGTGTCGAAATTCAAACTATTTTTATCGGTAAAGCGCAAATGTATCAGAAATAATGAGGTTATGATACTGAGGTGGTTATAAAAATGGGGTGGGAATGAGACATCTATAAATAAATGTGAATTATTTCTTACATATTTTTACCAACATATTTTTGATTATACCATCAGTCGTCATCAATCAAAATCTGGGTGATCAATATTGATTTATTGAAATATAGTTTTCCATTCATAAGTACCCATTTGTTTTCTTAGATTGAGTTATGAAATATCAAGTGATAAGAGGAGAAGTTGTTTAGGCTTCAGCTGAGGGGTATAAGGTCAGGTGGTAATAATATATTCTTTACTACCTAGGTGTATATGTATTAAGTTTTTTCCACCACTAGAAATACATTTCAGTCATGTTAGTCCTGTGGAACTGAAATATGAACCAGTTGTCACTATGAAAATACTTCTTTTCAATTCTAATTAAAATCGAGTTATCATGACGATGACAGCATATGACAAGCCGTTATTGATATTTACCTACTGGATTCAGGTATCGTTCCTGATGCGAATGTCGCATAGGAACAATGTCTTTATTGACTAGTGGTTCATAAAATGACGAAAACTACCTTGGTAGTAAAAACAAACTTCACGTCTCCAAAAGGAGTAAATAATGGTAGGTGTTATAGCTAGTGGTGGAAAAATTAAATCATGGTGCTCTCTAAAAATATATCTGACGTGCATAATGGACTCTGATATGTGCAGAGACATGAATTACCGTAACCAAGGACCAAGGGTAAAAGAGCATAGTCTTTTTACCTACTTCTGGAGGCATAGATGAAGTATATAGTATAAAACTAGCATCCTGAACATTCTCGTTCTCAAATTTTCTCATGTGTTATCATATCATATGTGTTAAACATGTGTTTTCTTGCCTAGTTTCTTACTAATGTGTCGGTATTTTTTTCGTGGTATGGCACACAGTTTGGATGTAAGTTACCTAATGTACCTATTGCGACGCTGTTGCACTAGTTTCAATTATTCAGTCTAGCAGATGTGATTGAACTACACAGAACTTCTTCCCCTATCTTTGTAACCATGCCAGTATAAATATTATAATTGCAATGTCCTACTGTTTTGCTTGGAGTTTATGAGTGAAGCCAGTATAATATACCACTACCTGAATATTTTTTTGTACGACTTGACTATTTTGAATTGTTTACCTCATCTATTTTTATGACATTAAGTATGAATGGAAATAATGACACATTGCTAAGCCAATCTAAACGGTAAGTGTTCGACTAAAAAGACAAACGGGGATTTATGAAACAATTTTTATATACCCACTTTTGACTGTCACACATTAATTATTGATTATTATAAAAACTAAATTCACTTCATGATAGCCTTATGTTTTATGCACATTATTTAAAGAAAAAAAAAAATGAGAAAGCTTCATTCATGATGGTTTTTATTTTGAAAAAAACATCGTTTCATGAAGGTGGCATACAAATAAACTAATATCTTGAGAATTTTTCATTCATTTGAGGTTATTTTTCATCTTTGGGAAAACTATGTATATTTTGTCAATCGTTTTTCTTTGAAGACGCTGTCAAGGATATTTGAAATTTCATTGAAACACCTACCTGTGACAAATATATACCTAGTTTTCTTCCACAGAGGTTTTTGTTCGTTTGTCAAGAAAATGTTACCCACAAAATTTTTTTGACAACAAATACAAATATTTGATATATGTTACTAGATCTGGTAACATTATAACCCCAGCAGTTTCATAAATCCCCGTTTCACGGAACTCGTTCAGAGAACTGTATGTGATTTCATATTATACTTCTATTTTATAACAGCATGACTGAATGTAAAAACGAAACTATGAAAATATAAGAAGATTTTGATCTATACGAATTCTTGAACACATACATATCATGTCGGTCGTACAAGAAATGGTATGAACATCACGAACGGTATAATAAGGTTTACTTACTGGTTTCAGACAATATGGGATACCTTGCTGCGCTGAGTCTCCTAATATTGCCTTCAAATAGCTAGTGGACCTCTTCCTTACCGTTCTTGATACTCAATACACCATCATTCAACACCAAATTTGTACCTACCTATTATTGATGTTTGTTATAATTTTTGAGTGTTAATTTGTAATGAAATACAGAAGATCTTGACATGGGGAAAGTTGTGTTATGTCTACTATTGGAGAACAGTGTTCGTCGTGCAGTTTCCTGAGCAATAATTTCTTATTTCGTTCTTGAAATAATGATGTAGGTACCTACTAAGTATTTTTTTGTTTTTCAAAATATTCAATACCTATTCCCGCAATCATACAACCTATTGAACATTTAAAAAAAAAAATTGGCTCATTGTGTTCCCAAATTCAAATAAGTAATAATAATTTATGTCATTCATACAATGATAATCATTTCAATTTACTTTTAGTTTTTGAATAGTATATAATCACACTTCTATTTCATTCATAAGCAATAATATGGTGATTGAATACACGGTTGCCATGACTAAAATTGTCTCTTGATATTTTTGTGGCTGATATAGTACCTACTATACTTATACAGAATTACTTTTTTCTATGAACTTATTTCCGAAAATGGAAATCGAGGGATATATATATATACACCCCTTGATGAATATCAGTTTCACAATAGTACATTATACACCTAGGGAATTAAGTGGTATTTTAAATCCCTAGACAAAAAGTTTATAGCTCGACGAACGGGAGGGCTCTAATTTGGCGAGGTATTTAAATCCCTAAGGATTTAAAGTTACTTTTTTCCCCGAAAATAGGGAATGAAGGTACCGTTTAAATGTGATGTGCATTAAGTATGATAAATTGAGCTTTCTTCATGTGTGAATGAGTTAATTGAAAAATGTTGTTTGGACGATTATTTTTGCTCCTTGTTTTGTAAACATAAATTATTCAAAAACGGCTTGTTGGTTTATCGAAATGTGATGAGAGTGTACCTGTTACATTTCTAATTTTGTATGAGAATTTGTGGTAATAATGATCTATAATTGAGAAAGTTAGGCGTGAAATACTATTATAACTATCCCATAGAAAATCCTCTCGAGTAGAGAAGATAAAATTTGACTAATATTATGAAAATGGGTGTATATAGATATCCTTCCTTCATCTAAGTTCGAAATATGAATTCCACATCCCAGGGTTGTCGGAAAATATCGCATTTCAAGTAATGAGTTTATACAAAGGCTATATTCCGAATTCAACTGTTCAGTGTTCCGAAATCTAAAATCAAAAATACAGTGCTGTTAATTCGGAAAACGTTTTCATCAGTAATCAGCAGCAGTTATTTGATCAGCTGGTGAAATTTAAATATCATACTAAGCGTCAATTATTTTAATAACAGGTATTTTCTGATATTATATATGATATTATGATGAATTCATTATTGATAAGAGAATACTTACTGTTTGAAAAACAAGGATTTTCCTTCCCCTTCTAAAATACTTGATGACAGTTCACTGAATAAGCCACACTACCTTTTGATAGCAATTTCAGCAGAATGTTGAGTCCAAATATTTTGAATGTTTTTTTTGATATCGGAATGAAAAATCAGATTCAGTAGTGTCGGTTGAATTCGGAATATAGTCAAGTTTTTGACTGTCCCCAGAAATATCCGAACACAATTCTGGAACACTCGTATATATTACTGATCTGACATATTATGTACAGGATCTTCTGTCACGTCTTGTAGATATAGGTACATACCTA